ACTTACACCTTGGGGGCCTGGAATTGGAGCTGATGTCACTGCTAGCAGGCCAAAGCAGTAGTTGAGCAAATTCTGTCAGTTCTACCTTCAAAATATATCTAGAATCTAATTACTTCTACCACTCCTACTACCACCCCGCTCCCAAGACATAACTCTAGCTCCCCTAGCATCACCCTCGAACTGGACTCTCTACTTCTGTTCTTGATGCCTGCACTCTATTCCAGAACGATCCTGAAAACCTGATTCAGATCATGTCACGCCTCTGCTTAAAACCCTCCCATGGCTTCTCCCTCACTCACAGTAAAAGCTAAAGTACTTTACTGTGAACTACAGGGTCCAACATCATTGGGTCCTATAATACTCTGATCTGCCTCTCCATCTGCTTCAGCAGCGATAACTGGCCTCTCTGTGATTCCTTAATGGTGCCAAGCAGGCTCCCACCTCAGGGCCTTTGCACTGGCTGTTCCCATTATCTGAAATTATCTTCCCCCACCCCAACTTCCACCCCCAGACAACATGACTAGCTTCATCACTTCTTTCAAGGTCTTTAATCAAAAGATACCTTCTTAGGAAGGCTCTTCCTGGCCACCCCATTTACAATGTTAACATTCACTTACCTGGCTGACATGTCACATACCTCTTCCCACTTTATGCCTTCTCCTTAGCACTTGCCAGTAACATATATTTTACTTGTTTATCTTTATTTATTGTCTTTCTCTCCTACTAGAATGCAAATATGCTGTGTCTCCAGCAACCAGTAGGTTGGCACATACTAGGTATTCAATTAATATCTGTTAAATGAAAGAATAAATGAAAGGATGGTTTGGGTGCTTAAACCCATGACATGGTAGCACTGGCCTGTTCTCCAGCTGGGAATTAGGAGTCAGGCCTCCTGAAGGAACAACATTTGCATGTCCACACCTCCAATGGTTTATAACCCTGTCTCCCCCAGTAGACAAATGAATGGAGATGCATTCCCCATACTCATATCACTCCAGCCTGTGCCTTCTGCACTACCCTTCCCCTCCCAAGCCCACACTACCTCAGGGATCTTCCTGCCAACTCCAGTGAGGTTTATCTTGAATAAAGAGCAATTGTTCAACTGGCAGCCCTTACTATGTATCAGCTACTATGCTAAGCATTTTACATAGAATATTTTATTCAATTCTTACGAGACATGTGATATTTCCCCATTTTTCACAAGTGAAAATTGAGGCTCAGAGACTGCACTGAACACCTAATTGGGTGATTTCCTTTTCTCTGAGAACTTTTCACTTCCCCACAAAGATGGGCCCTTGCTGGCCTGTGGATACCCAGCAATACCACCCTCCACTCCTCAGGCCAGCCCTCACTGACTGGGCCAATGTAGAAACGCGATTCTAGTGGGGCCAGTCGGTTTCCTTTTCCCAGAAATGTGGATTTGGATACAGAGATATTTGTCCTCCCTCTTAGGCTCTTCATAAAGGTGGACTGGAATGTCAGTGTCTGGTCCTAGGCACCCTGAGGCCAATCAAGAAAGAAGGCCAGTCGAGGTGGCTCACACCTGTAATCCCAGCATTTTGGGAGGCTGAGATGGGTGGATCACAAGGTCAGGAGATCAAGACCATCCTGGCCAATATGGTGAAACTCCAACTCTACAAAAAATACTAAAAATTAGCCAGACGTGGCGGTGTACACCTGTAGCTCCAGCTACTCGGGAGGCTAAGGCAAGATAATTGCTTGAACCCAGGAGGCAGAGGCTGCAGTGAGCCGAGACTGAGCCACTGCACTCCAGCTTGGGTGACAGAACGAGACTCCGTCTCAAAAAAAAAAAAAAAAAAAAAAAGATAAACCAAGTGTCTTTCAATTGTTTGTAACCAAAAGAGCTTGACTCAGAGAAGTTAAAAAACTTACCTAACACCACGTAACTTAAGAAGGATGAAGCTGGGACTCTGATGCCCGCACATTCCTGTAACTGCCAAACCACTTAGACTTTGTCTTCTTCCTAGAGGTTGGCAGGGCAGAGGTGGAGTTTCCCCAGCAGATCGCACTGTCTCATTTCCCCTCCTTTCACACCAGTACATTTTCCCAAGAAAAGCCAAGGTCAGAATCACCTCCAGGGCAACCTCAAATGGGAAAAGAAGTTGACAACAGGAATATATGGGAAGTAGAGAAGGGCAGCACCATTTTGGTGGGTACGGATCAGGCAACACGGGGTAAGTTTATGTTTTTACTGAGTCTTGATTTTTTTTGGGACCAGGTGGAGCCAGCCCCTTCCCTCCATGGAGACACAGCCAGGCAGATGGGTAAGATGAGCAAGGCATAGGCCAGGAAGAAGTGCGGGGACAGCTTAGCTTTTGGAGTGGGGACTTTGTCCATCAGGCTTCCAGGCCCAAATAAGTCCCCTCATCAAGGAAACTGTGTACCCCTCAGGCAGGCTTGCTCCAAAGATGCAGTCAAGCCAGGTGAAGACCAACGAAAAGAGGGTCAAAGGTCTCTCTGGGCAAATCCATTAGAGACAGCTGATCCTTTGGAGCCACTTGAAGTCTGCAACTCCTGAAGCTCTGTTTATTGACTCTGTTTATTTCTCCAATTTCTCAAGTACACTGTCTGCAAGCTCCAGCTTCCCTCATAAGTGCTCAGCTTCTATTCTGCCTCGCAGGCTTCACCAATTTGATTAGCATACTCTGCACTCCGTCTTTCAAGCCGTTAATGAAAATACTGATGAATACTGGGAGTTATTCAGATCCCTGGGAGGCCTCTCCTCCACCCCATCATCCTTTCCTGGCGAGTAAACTGGAAGGGATGAATCCTCTTTTCAGATGTTCTTTGCCTACTGTTCAAGAGCTTTTGTCTAATCTTTTCATTCATTCATCTATTCAATCACTCATTTATTCATTTGCTAGGGCTAGAGGCTTAGCACAATCCCTGGCACATGAAAAATGGTAAACAAATGCAAGATCTTAGTGTTATGAGGTGCTGTGGAGAAACAAGAGATGCACAGGATAGACCCCAGCCCTGAGTGATAAGAATGGGAATAAGAATTACAGCTGCCAGTTTTTAAATACATGCCAGATACTGGGCTACGTACTGTCCAGACAATATCCAGCCCAGGCCAGCTATCATCCACCCTACAGAGGCAGTTGTTGGTAACGATTAAAAGGGAGGATTCTGGCCAGGTGCAGTGGCTCACGCCTGTAATCACAGCACTTTGAGAGGCCGAGGTGGGCGGATCACTTGAGGTCAGGAGTTTGAGACCAGCTTGGCCAAATGGTGAAACCCCGTCTCTATAAAAATTAGCCATGCATGGTGGTGGGCACCTGTAGTCCCAGGTACTCGGGAGGCTGAGGCACGAGAATTGCTTGAACCCGGGAGGCAGAGGTTGCAGTGAGCCGAGGTAGCACCACTGCACTCCAGCCTGTGCAATAGAGTGAGACTCAGTCTAAAAATAAATAAATAAATAAAATAAAATAAAAGTGAGGATTCTAAAGTCAAAATTCTTATTCCAGCTTTCCACTGACTGGCTTCTTTGCCTTAGATTCTCCCTCTGTACAGTAAGGGTACTATTAGTTATTTCATAGGGTTACTGTGAGGATTTAAATTATTAAATCATACAGAATTGGTACTTGGAGTATTGCCCAGCATATAATATGCACTGAACAAATGCTGGCAATTATTATTATTTGATGTAATACAATTACCCCTTATGAGGTAAATGTTACTATCGTTGTTTTACCAACAAGAAAACTGAAGCTTAGGAAGCCTGAGTAATTTGCCTAAAGTCCTACAACCAAATAGTGGAACTCGGGTCCAAACCCAAATCTGATTCCAAATTCCATTTGCTTTATTACTGTACGCTAGAAAGGAAGAAAACATGCATACATACATATATAATTATTTTTACAAGACAGAAAAGCAAATGAGACTGTAGACCATGGACTATTTTCATGGCACATAGTAGATTCTCAGTGAATCCAACCAAATGACGATGATGTTGATGATGTCAGTAATGATGACAACAAAATTCTAAAGTGCCATACTGAAGTTTTAAAAAATTGTTTTAAGATGTCACAGGACAGAGAGATATCATTTCTGAAGAGAGGAATAGTTGGAGACTTTCATGGAAAAGGTGGTATTTGCAAAGGCCTTAAAGGATGACCATGAGTTGGACACAAGGAGAGAAGAGGAAAAGGCACCCAGGTAGAGGAAACTGCAGGAGCAAAGGCTTACAGACATGAACGCTTAGGGTGTGTGTGAAAAGAAAGAGCAAGAAGTTCCACTGGACACTACGTGTTGTATGAAAGAAAATAGTTGGGACTGAGCTGGAAAGGAAGGAGACACACCCTTATTGACACATGAGGCCTTGCCCAAAAGACTAGTCAAAGCAGAGAGATTTCTCACACTTCAGAGTCTTCTGAAACTCACATTGGAGAAAGAGCCATATGAGGGATTTGGAGATGAGGAATGGGGTTTCTTCAATATTCAGGCAAGAGTAAGTACCACAATGCTCGTGCAGTAAAGCTTCAGTTTGAGGTGAGGGCCAGGCAGGGCTGACATTCAGCCAACACGTGTGTATCGATATAGGTTGTTGAAAATATTAAACTGCTTTTCTTCCAGGCTAGTAAACGGCACTGCCCTGAACCACCTAAGGCCCCTTCCCCTGGACTCCAGGACCTCCTCAACATCCTCACATAAAAGGATTAATTTCTGGCACTATTTTGATAATCACCCCTGGAGCTAGGGGACTTGGCTTGAGGATAGTTTTGCATAGCATGTTACTTAACTTTGAAAAACACAACAGTTGTATCAATAAATGGGTTGCAGAGTATAAAAGCAAACAGACCAACCACTCCACTCTGGCCTCAGATATTCCTCAAGCTAGTTCCTTGTGGGGAACTAACTGCTTTCCTGCTGAGTCACTGTGGCTGCAGCCCTGCCCTTTCTTGTGACTGTGTCATTTGGCATTATGGTTCTTCCTGAGCCCAAGGGGACTACAAAGGTCTCTATCAGGACATTGGGCATGGCCACTGTGCTAGGTGCACACACCTGACAGATCGTCTTGTGGGCTCCCACTTTTCCTATTGCTCCCAGCATCACATAGATCCCTGGGATCCCTCCATTAGCTTGGCAATGCCGTGGAAGTTGCCAGAAAAAGAATCCTAAGGAATTGGTTCTCGGCAGCTTTGGCTCAGGCGTTTGTCTTCTTAACGAACTGGTGGGGAGGTAGCTCTTTTGGTGCATCATCTCCAGGGCAGGATCCTGCCCTCTGAAGCTTGTGGTGAGACCAGGGACTTGGGGGCTGATGGGGAAGCTTGGGACCTGCTCTTCCCTCTGCTATGAATTTTCTCTCTGGCCAAAGCAATGGCCTCTCCTAGCCCTGCATTTCAATTTGATTGCTCTCAGTACCCATGGTCACCTTTCCTCACCCACAGCTCTTCACAAAAGAGAGACAAGAACAGGAAGGAAGGGATCCCAAAGCAGAGTCCCTGTTGAGGCTGGGGTCCCTGGGCAAATCTGCACCCTGTGCAACTCCTGGGACTGCAGATGTGAGTGATGCCCCAGGATGAATGGTACCCCCAAAGCCTTGAGTGGGGGAACCATGTGCCATCTGCCACTCCACCCTTGGGAAGATAGCCCCACCATTGAGTCAGGGAGCACCAGGAGGAGGTCCTGGATCTCTAACATCTGTCGTCCTGCTGGGTAATGATACTGTATCTTTCATAAAATCAGAACTAGCCTGGGCAACATGGAGAAAACCTATCTCTACCAAAAAAAAAAAAAAATTAGCTGGGCGTGGTGGTCATGTACCTATTAGTGCCAGCTACTTACGAGGCTGAGGTGTGAGGATCGCTTGAGCCAGGAGGCAAAGACTGCAATGAGCCGTGATCATGCCGCTGCACTCCAGCCTAGGAGACAGAGTAAGACCCTGTCCAAAAAAAAAAAAAAAAAAAAAAACCTTTCCATTCCTCCCTTTTAGAGAAAGCAGAAAACACACACAGAAGACTGTACTCACACACCTTCTGTGTGGCTGTGGTCAGAGGCTTTGCCAAGGGACCTTTCCTGGGAGGGGAAAGAAAAGCCTATGAATTGCATTGAGGACCTGAACAAGGGCACAGGATATGGAGGGGGGTGACAACAAAATGGTTTTTATTGGCAGTCAGCCCTCCACACGCTGCAGTCCCTCCTACCAGTCCACTAGCAGGTTCCTAGGGAAGCAATACATCTTCCATTTGGCCATGCACACACCCCCCCCTGCAGCAGCGAGCACTTTCTGTTCTCCTGCATGGCTGGCCTGATGCTCACCCTGCAGCCCCGTGACAGGAGGAATGACATTACCCCTGCCTATGCAGAACCTACTTTCCATTCCCTATCTCAACTGTGTTCTTCTTCTCCACAGTGGCTCCCAAAGTATCAAGCCCACTGTGCTGATTTGAGCGTTTGGTTCAGCCCTTTCTGGTCATCACCAACGTTCACCTGGCCATGCTGATGGCAGCAGGCACTGATCTGGCCATTCCCACAGCCTGGTCACCCCATGGTGGCCCTTGATTGAGCTTGCCATGGCACGGAAGGGGGCCTCTCCTACTCACCGAACTCCTTATTGAGGTACAGCACATTCATTTATATTCATATGGTAGTAATACCTAATTTTTATAGGTATGTGCCAGGCACTGTCCAAAGTATTTACATGCATTACTCATCTAATCCTCACAATCGCATGATATATACTGTTAGCCCCAATTTACGGACTGAGGAAGCTTGACCATGGAGACTTTTGTTAACATATTCAAAGTGCATGTAAGGAACAGGGCCCAGATTCCAACCCAAGCTACTAAGTTCCCAAGTGCATGTGTGTTCCAAGATATCATGCCATGAGGCTGCTGAAGATTCACACAACTGGTATCCAAATCCTTCCTAGGAACAGGTGGTGATGCGATGGGTGGAGAAGCATGGAGGAGGCAGATCCTGGAAAGAGGGCGAGCAAAGAACACAGAAAGGGGACACTGGGAGCCAGAAGCCAAAGGGGAACCTGGACTTCCCTCCATTCTCCAAGGCCTGGCTCTCACTGAAGATACTGTGGGATGAGAGAGAGAACAGAATACTAAAGAACAGAATGAGAGTAGGTGAACAGTCAGCCCAGAGGAGAGGAATGCACACAGGCTGAAGGGAGAGAAGAGATAAAATGGACATAGCACATTTCACAAGCCAATGGGAGGAGCTGGGAATCCAGCATTAGCTTGAAGGTGCTCACCTTCCCTCTGGATGGTTGACTCAGTGTTGACACAGACTTTAGCTGTCAGCCCTGAAAGCAATCAGCTCATCATTGCAGCCTCTTCATTGTCTAAATTTTTCTGAAGGCATGAGATGCCACTGGCCTTTCAACAGGGCTACCCAGGACATGGGGAAGAGAAGGGCAGGGAAGCAGAGATAGAGGCCAAACACAAGTGCTTCTGCCAGCAGAGCTCAGAGCATGTCTGGCAACCCCAGTTCCCAGCCCTGAAGCAGGCACCAGGCTACCAGGACAGACATAAACCAGGGACAAGGAAAGGGAAGGGCCAGCCCCAAAGCCCTTGGGATGCCTTGTCAACAGGCCAGTGTCCTTTGGAAAACATTCCAAAGGAAACAACAAAAGTGAGACAAAGGATTTCCTTCCTCTTCCCTCATGTCAGAAATTCCCTGAGGGTCTTTCCTGGACTACTTGTCTGTCTCTATAACAATCCTACACACTGGTCAAAGTTTTTAAGGCCAAAAGTTTTAAAGGAAATGGAAAGAGAAGTAAGATTTAAAATATGTGTCAGAGTCTGTTGCTGTCACTGTGGGAGCTTATTCTTTCTTGTTACAGCGAACAAAGCTGAGGAAACAGATTTTTCCATGTTACATTTGATGGGGGTGGGACCCATGGCCTAGAACTGGGGGTCAGCGGAAGATAGAGCACACCCATTAAAGAAAGGGGTCAGCAAAAAGGAAGATAGAGCACACCCATTAGAGAAAGGGGTCAGCAAGAAGGAAGATAGAAGCAGATGCCAACGGGGCAGGGGGCTGTAGGGAAAAGAGGGGGAAGAGGGAGGGGGCAAAAGGAGGAAGAAGTGGAGGAGGAGGGGATGAAGAGGAGAAGAAGAAAGAAGAGGAAGAGGGGAAAGGAGGAAGAGGAGGAGGAGGAGGAATTGGAGGAAGGGGAAGAAGAGAGGATGCACATGAAGAAGAGAAATCACCACTGCCTTATCTGCCTTCACTTCTCCCTGCCTCTCACATCCTCTACCTGTTCTCAGTCAAGTTCTTGCCACTGGCACTTAACTTGTCTTCCCTTTATGGACCTCAACAATCCACCCCTCCAGGTCCTTCCCGCCTCTCACCTGGACTGGTCTGTGGCTTCCAATAATAGTCTTCTTAGCTTCAGTTTCTCCCGTCTCCAGCTCACCGTTCTCACCACTCCAGGTTTAGCTTCCTAAAATATTATTTTCATGACATTATTCTGTATCATTTTTTCATAACTCCCTCTTTAACTTCCATTTCCCAATTTGGTGTAATGGAAGGAGCCTGAGCTTTTCGTAGAAGGGTCCTCAAGGGTTCTCAGTCTCAGCACAGTTGATATTTGGGGCCAGATAATTCCTCACTGTGAGGCCTGTCCTGTGCATATTAAGATGTTCAGCAGCATTCCTGTTACCCTTGAGTGCATCCCTCCAAACCCCTACTTGTGACAACCAAAAATTTCTCAACAGTGCCACTTGTCTCCTGGGGGACAAAATTGCCTCTGGTTAAGAACCAGTGACCTAGATTCAACCCCTGACTCTGTCACCTACTGACAGAGCTCTTTTGGGTAAATGACATAACTTCTCTGAAGCCTAGTTTCCTCAACATTAACACAGGGCTAATAATGCCTACCTTACAGAGCCATTGTGAGAATTAGATAAAATAATTCTAATATATAACACAGACCTAACACAATACCTAGCACATGATAATAGCACAGTGAGATGGGGCCCACTGTGCACAGTACAAACCGGAGATTCTACCATGGTTTAGCTCCATCCTAGGTATATTAGAATAGCCATTTACTTGTTATTATAAGGAACAAAATAATAGTGGATTAAACAAGAAATAGTCCATATAAAATCAGTCCTGGCTGATAGAGTGCCCATGTGGTGTCTGGTGTACAGGCCTTTTCTAGCTTCATGTTCTGCCATCCTCAACACAAGGTTTCCATCCTATGGTCCAATATGGCTGTTCCAGCTCCCACCACCACATGTCTGCCCTTCCAGGAAGCAAGAAGGAAAGAAGGGTGAAAGGGGAGAATATGCCTCTTTCCTTATGTGGGTACCATTGCAGTGCTGTACATATCACTTCCACTCACATTCTATTGGCCAGAGCCTAGTCACATGATCACACCCAACTACAAAGGAGACCGGGAAATATATATATATATATGTCTCCATAGCTTTCACCCAGACCTCTTCTAAACAGCTTGTTCAAAGCACTAACAGAGCCAGCCATGGTGGTGTGTACCTGTAATCCTAGCTTCTCAGGAGGCTGAGCAGATAGGATTGTTTGAGGTCAGGAGGTCAAGGTTGCAGTACACTATGATCATGCCTGTGAATAGCTGCTGGACTCCAGACTGGGCAACACAGTGAGACTCCAGCTTAAAAAAAAAAGCACTAACAGGTCTATTTGGTTATCCTCCTAGCACCATCACTTCAATATGCTCTAACAAAAGATATATATTTTTTGTTTGTTTGTTTTTAAGAAACAGAGTCTTGACCTGTCACTCAGGCTGGAGTGCCGCAGTACCATCCTCCCACCTCAAGTGATCCTACTTCAGCCTCCCAAGCAACTGGAACTACAGGTGTGCATCACCACGCCTGGCTAATTATTTCTTTTCTTTCTTTTATTTTTGTAGAGACAGAGTCTTGCTGTATTGCCCAGGCTGGTCTCAAACTCCTGGCTCAAGAAATCCTCCCACCCTAGCCTCCCAAAGTGTTGGGAATACAGGTGTGAGCCATTACACCTGGCCCAGAAACATCTTTAGTTATGTGGCAAAGTGCCCAGCTGAACCTTCTGTTATCACAGATCAGAGAACAAATATTGGGAAATGTTACGTACTGAATGTTTGTATCCCCACTGAAATTCATATGTTGCTGGCATTTGGAGATAGGACCTTTGGGAATTAATTATTGTCAGATGAGGTCATGAGGGTGAAACCCTTCTCTGATAGGATTAGTGTCCTTATAAGAAGAGACATCTGCTGGACGCAGTGGCTCATGCCTGCAATCCCAGCACTTTGGGAGGCCAAGGCGGGCAGATTGCTTGAACTCATGAGTTCCAGACCAGCCTGGGCAACATGGCAAAACCCCATCTCTACAAAAAATGCACACATTTGTCAGGCATGGTGTTGCATGCATTTAGTCCCAGCTACTCAGGCTGCTGAGGTGGGACCCCAGGAGGCAGAGGCTGCAATAAGCTGAGATTGCACCACTGCACTCCAGCCTGGGCGATAGAGCCAGACCTTGTCTTAAAAACTAAAAATAAAGAAGAGACATCACTCACTCTCCATCCACTATGTGAGGACACAGAGAGAAGGCAGTCATCTACAAGCCAGGAAGAAAGCCTTCATCAGAAGGCTACTCCTTGATCTGGGACTTCTAGTCTCCAGAACTGAGAAAAAAAAAAATACACTTCTGGTGTTTAGGCCAACCAGTTTGTGGTATTGTGTTATGGCAGCCCAAGCAGATAGAAAGGTTCAGCCTCCAAACAGTCACATTCTGCGGTACAGGAGGTTCTGACTTCAACCTATATATTTGTAGGTGGGACACAATTTAGCTCATAATAAGCATACTGTAGATGCCCAGGAAATACTTATCTGTCTGATTAAAAGACTCAGAAAGAGAAAGGCTAATCATACTGTTAACTAACTCCTGTGCACAGGGCCACTCAGCAATGTTTTGACATGCTACTCCTCCTCTTGCTTCCCCTTAGAACTCAATATTCTCTTTGGCTGTTATGACTCCACTCTCTCTAAGTTTTTTTCCTTCTTCTCAGGCCACTCCTTCATCTCCTTAGTGAGTTCCTCTACCTCCGGCCATCCTTTACAAGTCAGTATTCTACAGTGTTCTATTCTCCTCACTCTAAGCCCTTTCCACAGTGATCTCATGGACTCCATTGCTGCAATCATCGTTTGCAGCTGATGGTTCTCAAATCCATAGCTTCCACCCAGACCTCTTCTAAACAGCTTGTCCAAAGCACTAACACAGCCAGCCATGGTGGTGTGCACCTGTAATCCTAGCTTCTCAGGAGGCTGAGCAGGGAGAATTGTTTGAGGTCAAGAGGTCAAGGTTGCAGTGCACTATGATCATGCCTGTGAATAGTCATTGGACTCCACACTGGGCAACATAGTGAGACCCCATCTCAAAAAAAAAAAAAAAAAAGCACTAACAGGTCTATTTGGTTATCCTCCTGGTATCATCCCTTCAATATGCTGTAAACTGGATCATTTATCAATCCCCTCCATCTTCTCCACCATGATTCACTCTCCTCCTCAACACACACACACACACACACACACACACACACACACACACATTGTTCCTTCTCTCAAGCTCCTTATCTCAGTGAACCATATCACCATCTCCCCAGAATCTAATTCCTATATTCAATCCCCAAATCCCATCCAGTTTGACTTCTTAATACCTCTTTCTATCCCCTCTTCTACCAGTTTACTTTGGGCTGCTGTCATCTCTCATTTAGATTACAAAAACAATATTCTTTCTAATCCATCTGCCTTTCACCCACTCTTTTCCCTTCAATCAAAGTGATTTTCTAAAACATAAACATAATGCTACCACTCCTCTGATGAAAACCTTTTAAAAACTTACCATTGGCCTTAGACACATTTTCAAATTCCTTAGTCGGGCAAAATAATTCTTCATCCCTGGGTCCTTCTTCTCTACTCCACTTCATTTCCTGCCCACCCCCCACACAACTTACACTCTTTATTCTTCACTTACAGTTTCCCAAAGAGTTCTATACTCTCTTTCAACCTCCAGCTTTTATACATTTTTCACCATGTTTGGACTCCTCCCAGCTAATTTCTGTTACTATTGCAAATCTCAGTTTACACATTACCTCCTCAAAGAAGCCTAATCAGCCTTTGAGAACCAATTCCTGTGGATCTTCTTCCCTGGAATCAACTGTCTCCCTCACCTTCAGGCACATTAACCCCACCCTGACAGCTCATTTCCTAACACCTGCGGTCCTCTTATACTTTGTTCGTATCTTTATTAAAGCATTTATCACACCGTAATTCAGCTTTGCCCTGCTGCTCCCCCACTGTATGCAGGCTCCTTGGGGACAAAAACTGTCTGGTTTCTGTGCTAGAAATCATGATTTTTCTTCCATATCCCCTCCCTACGCTTCTCTGCCCTCCTGTGAGCCCCAGGAGGCTGATCTGTAGTAAATACGTAAATGGAATTCAGCCACTGCAGAGAAGAGGGTGAAGTCCAGGTCAAGGTCATCATTTCACTGGCTAGATGAGCCCTTCAACCAAAGCACAGCTTCTGCCCCGTGGCCCTCTCCACCTGACTCATTTTTTCTTCTGGGAATTATCTCTCCCTTTATCCCCTCAGCCTAGGCTTGATAATATCTTCCTGATGTTACTGGCTCCAGGAGACGGCACGACCCTTTGTTTTCCTGCACTCTGCCCTCCCCTTTGAAAATAGTTCCTTTATTAAATTCTCCTCAAATTACCAATTACCCAATTTAAGTTTGCCAGGACCCAATTAATTTCCTCTTTCAGTTTCTGGCAAAGATTCTAGAACATAAATGTTGAATGAATGGATGAATGAATAAATGAATTGAGGAAAACAACTCAAGCCATTGGCTAACTTGGCTTATTCATCCTTATTTCACAAGGAGAAAAAATGATTTCTCAATTTAGAACCTGAGACTCGGTCTGGCATGGCGGCTCATACCAGTAGTACCACCACTTTGGGAGGCCAAGGTGTGCACCTCAATTGAGCCCAGAAGTTTGAGACCAGCCTGGGCAACATGTTGAAACCCCTTCTCTACAAAAAAATACCAAAATTAGCTGGGAGTGGTGGCACGTGCCTGTAGTCCCAGCTACTCAGGAGGCTGAAGTGGGGAAATCAATTGAGCCTGGGAGGTCGAGGTTTCAGTGAACTGTGATTACGGCACTGCACTCCAGCCTGGGTGACAGAGGGAGACCCTGTCTCAAACAAACAACAACAACAAAAGAACTTGAAATTCAAGTGAGACAGTTTTAGGGTCAGCAAAGAAGGGGATCCTTGGGACGCTTTTGGCAGAAGGCAGGTCTGGGGAATGAGAAAGAGGCTGTTGGGTAGATGTCCTTTGCTATAGCAGTCCCTGAGGTTTGCAGGGTGCTGGGCTCCCCAGAGAGAACTGTATCTCCTGCTGTGACTGTGCCATGCTGGGTGGGAATGCCTCTCGTGCCTTCCTTTCTTTCTCTTGGTCTTTCCCCTAGAGAAGGGATTAGAAAATCACTAGATGGTTACTTCCTCCAACCTCCCACTCAAATCCAGCAACCTGAAATTCAAGCTCAAGAGGTGTGGGAGGGGCAAGCCCAGCAATCATCAAAGTAGGAGAGACTACATTCATGAGCAGATCTGGGCCAAGGCCACAGCCAGGGGGCAGGATCCTCTGAGATGAGTCATACACCATGCACCCTTGTGGAGTCCTCCAATTGTCCCAGCACTGTTCAAGCTGGGAGGGACCTCAGTGCTCATTATACCATCAGAACCCAGCCCACGGAGGGGAAGCAATTGCCCAAGATCACACAGTAAGTTGGGAGCAAAGCAGGTGTCAGAACCTAGGTCACCCAGTCAATAAACTTGCCATCTCATTGCCACACCACACTGCCTCCTGAGACCAGGGGATGCTTCCAAGATGTCAGGTTTCAGTAGAAGGAACAGGCTCCCAAAAGAAGAGACAGACAGTTCAGGTCTGCTGTACTGTGTGCTTTGGAGAAGAGAATTAGCACTAGTCAAGCTATGGTTATACACAAGGCCCTGGCCATATATCGTCAGGGTCAATAGTACTGGTTCTGCAATGCACACTGGGGCCTGTTGGGGGCGGTGGGGGAAGGAGACCATCAGGATAAATAGCTAATGCATGCGGGGCTTTGTACCTAGGTGTTGGGTTGATAGATGCAGCAAACCACCATGGCATACGTTTACCTATGTAACAAACCTGCACATCTTGCACATGTGCCCCAAAACTTAAAATAATAAAGAAAAGAAAAAAAGAGTACTGGTTCTGAGCTCAAATACGGGTCTGAATTTTGTGTGACCTTGAATAGGTGACTCAACTTTTCTAAGCCTGTTTCCTCACCTGTAAAATGAAGGTTAAAAGAATACTCGCCTCATAGGATTTTTGTGGGGACTAAATAAGGTGATTTATGTAAAGCATTTAGCACATTTAAAAGCTGGCACTGAATAAGCTCTCAATATATGTTGGCAATTACTTTTCCCCATAGCAATTGTTGTATTTAATTCTCATGCCATCCTTTTAAGAGAGACAGGACATGAGCTTGGTAAGTTACTTGCTCCAATTTATGTATTCGTTTATATTTGTTAAGCTCCTACCAAGGGGCCGGATTCTGGACTATGGGGATATGGCAGTGAATAAAGGCAACAAAAATCCCTGCCCTCATGGAGCTTTCGTTGTAGTTGGGGCAGACAATCAACAAAAAGTACAAGTCAATTATATGAAATGCCAGAGGGAGAGAAGTGTTATTGAGAGACATAAAACAAGGGAGATGATGGAGAGAGGGAGGGGAGAGTTGCAGTTTTAGAGAGAGTGGTCATGGAAAGCCTCCACATGATGGTGATAAAGAAGCTAAAAAGAAATTATTTAGGCAGTTGGTGAGGGTAAGAGAGTCCTCCGTAAGGCTTCCCTTTCAACAAAAAGCAGCCCCCAAATCATTTCTTTTCTAACAAAGAACCACCTGTAAAATCGATCTGCAGCCATAAATAAGCAAGCTCGAAGCTTGCACAGGTAAATGCCGGCAGCTGTGCCGATAGGAAAAGGCTACCTGGGGCCAGGTGTGTTCAACAAGGAGGTTCCCTCTTCTCTTTTCTTTGTCACCACATGTGCAGTAGAAAGGCAGGCAACCCATGCCAGTCAGGTAGAGACTCCATCTGTACAATAAAAGATTAGGGTGGGATGGCCAGCTTCTTTGTGTGCTATGCAAATAGTGCACCTGGTCCTACCAATCTCGCAGGCCCTATGTAAATCAGATGCCACCTCCTCAAGCTCGCCTATAAAACCCCATGCATTTCACCACAGAACCAGAAAACCCACTCAGGAGCCCTTCTTTCTCTCTCTGGAGGAGAGAGAATTATTCTCTTTTCTTTCTTTCGCCTATTGAATGTCCGCTTTTAAACTCACTTCTTGTACATCTGTGTCCTTGATTTCCCTGGTGTGAGACAACAGAGCTCGGATATTACCCTAGACAAATGACGCCCCTTCAATGGCATTGAGCAAGGGTCTGAAGAAGGGAAGGGGATAGGCTTGTGGCTCTCAGAGGGAAGAGCATTCCTGAGAAAAGGAAGCACATGTGCAAAGGCCTTGAGGCAAGCACCAAATATTGGAAGGAGAACCTGGAGGCCAGTGCTCTGAAACAGGAGTGCAGGGAGGAGCCATGGGAATTGAAGCTAGAAAACACCCTTAATTATGGTGCTGGGAGCTGAGATTCAAACTGAGAACTGGTTCCCAAGCCCTTGCTCAGCCCCATTGCAGGCTCACTAGATGACAGGCTGGTGTGATTGAGTTGATTCTGTTCTTTCTAGAGAGGGTTTTGTGTGGTCCAACACTGGATACCAGGGAGCAGGGTAAAGAATTCCATTTCCAAATAAGTGTAATGTCTCTATCTTCGGAACCAAAAATCAGAATATAAATTTCAATAAGTACATGAACTTATAAGCAGGTAGGACAGAACATATGAAAGTAGGGCATCCAAGATATGCAGGACCTTGAATGAGCACAAAAGCTTTTCTATCCCTAAGATCCTCAGGCACTTTACCTTTATCCACCTCTAATAAGAACCACCTCCTTCCCTGGCCTGGGGAGGAGCAAGCTGGGATTCTTTCAAGTCCTCTACCTGCCAGGGCAACAGCGAAGTCCAAGCAGGCAGAAGGCAGGGGCAGGGGTTAGGTGGCCGGGGGTCCCAGAGACCCAGTCCTGACTCCGGTACACTCTCGGAACCCTCTGAGTGCCTTACTTTCCCTCCTCCAGCAAGAGGTCCTCCATCTGCCCACCCGCCTCCCAGGATATTCCTGGGAAGGATCAAAGAGGACCTCTTAAAAGGGCTGGCTCCCACTCCAGATAATTGCTAGGTAAACGCACCGTGTGTTTAGGATGTAATGGGCCAGTGCAGACAGAGCTGAACAGAGGAAATTGCTCACTTCAGGGAGGGGCAGGAACTCTTCCAGGCCATTACGGTCCACTAAGTAAGCTGCCTTTGCCAAGGTGAAATGGCTCCCTGATGACTTGAAGAGTGAACTGTCTCCTACCATTTCACACTGCATTTTGGTTACTGAGCTGTGATGCTCCCCTTCTCTCTCCACGAAACCTCTGCAGCAGGGTCGCCATCACCTTTCCGGCAGAAAGACTGGGAAAACAAGCCACTGATTTCAAAGAGGGTGCAAATTTATGTGGAAGGAGGTAGGGGAGGGAGGGTGAGAGGGAATGCTCTGGAGCTCAGTGAGGCACCTCGGGGTTACACCAGAAGGGACTCTGTGCTGGGTTCCAGGCCTGATTATTTCTTTTTTTTTTTGAGACAGAGTTTTACTCTTGTCATCCAGGCTGGAGTGCAGTGGTACAGAGGCATCAATCTCCGCCTCATGGGTTCAAGTGATTCTCCTGCCTCAGTCTCCCAAGTAGCTGGGATTACAGGTGCCCACCACCACGCCTGGCTAATTTTGTATTTTTAGTAGAGACAGGGTTTCACCATGTTGGCCAGGCTGGTCTCGAACTCCTGACCTCAGATGATCCACTTGCCTCAGCTTCCCAAAGTGCTGGGATTACAGATGTGAGCCACTGCACCTGGCCCCTGGTTATTTCCTGATGCCATGCATCAGCTGAGTGGCTTTGAGGAAGTCAGTTCACGACTCCAGCCCTCAGATTTCTCATATAGAAAATGAGAAGATAATCGCTTAGTTCACACCCAGCTCTAAAATTCTGTGATTTTAGGCAGAAGAAGAGACTGCATGGAGCATTTTAGTGACTGGGATGGCTCATGACTGGGCTGAGATGATCGACCTTTGTTTCAGATCCAGAAACCTCTTCACCTGAACCTCATTGCCACAAGCCAGACTGAGACCTAGACAGGGATTTTCACACCAACAACAAAAAACACACTTAAAGAGCCTGATTATTTTTACCTGGAGCTTGAAGGCCCAGAGGAAAAACATACAAATAGGACTAGGTACACACACACACTCAGCTTCTGAATTTTAATATCAGAAGATCATTATCATAAGCTGCATCAACAACTTGGGATCCTAACTAGTGCCAACTAAGCCTTCTCGCTTAATTACATGCTTAGAGCACTACAATTTAAAATCCTGGCAACCATGTTCTATGCAATTAAAAACAAACTCACAAACAGGCCTTACTTGTGCCTCTAATATGTTGTTAAAAGTTTGTCCCTGCTGCTCACCCACTTTCCTGGGAACACTGCTTTTCGCCAAAGAGCCTCAGTCCCCAAATCCAAATGCCTGTCAGTTACCCTCCAGCTTCCGTCAACAGGCCCATGGCCAAGTGTCATGAAAACCAACAGCTTTGCTTATTCCCACTCTGAGCTTCCAGATAACTATGCCTCCATTAATCCCTACTGAGGAACACAAGATTCCTCAACTGCACTGGGGATACTGAGAGGATTTTGCATCATCAGTATCTTTGAAAGTTGGAAGTGAAGTATCGGATTCTAGCCATGATTGGCCTTCATTCATTAATCAGTGCTGCTTTCTCTACCTTTCCAGGTTTATGAGCAAAAATCATTGCTTAAGAGATACTCACCATCAACCAGAATCATGGGGGACAGAGCACCATGAACTCAGTGAGCAAAGAGAACACTGGGGGGTATTCTTGGGGATGCAATCTCCACATCAAATCCATTGGCAAGACCTGGATGTTCTTGGAAATGTTGAAACATTGAAAATGTTGAACATAAATCTTCTCCCCGTCTCCAGTATCAACATCCAACTGAGGCCACCATCATTTCTTGGGTTTGGGTGGACAATTGCAACAACCACCTATGACTGCTGTGACTTTCTCTATAACTCCAGTTAATCCATCCTCCACTCCGCAGCCTGAATGATCTCTTCAAAATTCACAGTAGATAATGACACCCCAGTGGAAAATGTTGATTGCCTTCTACTTAGAATAAACCCCAAATTCTTTACTGTGGCCTACAAGACCTTCAGTGCAATCCTCGCTGGATGGGCTCCTCATTTTTTAAGTCTCAGATTAAATTAGCGGTTCCCAAAAGGCAGCAATTTTGCCCTTTAAGAGACATTTGGCAATGGTGGGAGATATTTTTGGTTGTCATAAATGGAAGTCAGGGGGTGCCACTGGCATCCAGTGGTCAGAGGCCAGGGATGCTGTTGGACATTCTGCAATGCACAGAATAGTCCCCTACCGCAAAGAACTGTCTAACCCAAAATGTCAGTAGTGCCAAAGTTGAGAAATTCTGCCTTTAAATCACTTTCTTGTAGTGACTTTATCTGACCATCTTTATCTCAAATTGGTTCCCATCCCCTATGCTCTTCATACCTCTAACCACAATTTGCAATTCTCTTCTTATTGTCATTTACATACAGGCAAGCTCCACATTCTGGGCTAGAGACGAAGTATGTCTTGTCCAACTTTGTTGTCTCAACGCGTACCACTTAGCAGATGCTCAATACATATTTGTAGGAAGAAGGGCAGGATGGGGGAAGGGAAAGAAGAAAGGGCAGTCAAGGTGAAGCAGCACCCCCGCCCTTCTGAGCCCCTTTCAGTATCATACTGACTCTCATCTTCATGTGGAAAACCTGCCATTAGACTTGGCCAGTTGCGCTGATTATGTTTTACTGGAGAACAAGCCGAGTGGACTAGGAAAACACTTTAAAACCCAATTGTGGGGCAGGGTGGCGCGTGGGGGCATTGCCATGAAAATGTTTAGATTTCTTCAGTATTGACTTTGTTTTGTCAAACAAGTCCTCTTGAGGGTAGGGACCATGTCTATTTCAGTCTCCGCTGTAGCTCCAGCAACTTGCATAGTGCGTAGCACAGAGATAGTGGGTTCCCCAAAAATGTTTGTGAATGTGTGAGTACTCCCCCAGCCTGCAGGGGAGGGAGGGTTGATACCCCACTGCACCCACTTCTTCAGCAGCTCATGAACCCACTTACGAAGCCAGCCTTCAGGTCAGACTCTTGCTTTTCTTCTTATTAGTGGCCCTTAAAAGAGCATTGCCAATAAAAACTTCAGCTCTGAGCCCGGGCGCGGTGGCTCACGCCTGTAATCCCGGCACTTTGGAAGACGGAGGCGGGCGGATCATGAGGTCAGGAGATCGAGACCATCCTGGCTAATACGGTGAAATCCCGTCTGTACTAAAAATACAAAAAAATTAGCCAGGCGTGGTGGCGGACGCCTGTAGTCCCAGCTACTCGGGAGGCTGAGGCAGGAGAATGGCGTGAACCCGGGAGGCGGAGCTTGCAGTGAGCTGAGATCGCACCACTGCACTCCAGCCTGGGAGACACAGCGAGACTCCGTCTCAAAAACAAAACAAAACAAAACAAAACAAAAATTTCTGCTCTGGAAAGGAAATCTAGCCTTTGTCAGCTATTTCCGACAGCCCTTGAAAGAAAAATAAATTTGGCTCCAAGTTTTCCCATGCCTGTTTATAGTTCCTCACACAAAGCTCTGCCGTTTATCCAATTTTGTCACCCAGAGACCCAGCTAACTCTATCTCAGAGGTAGCCTCTCCCGTCCCCAGCTCAGCAGCCTCCATTCCAACTTCCTCCTCCCCACTTAAGGCTTCCAAGAACCCATGAGGCTAAGCTGCAGGCTGTGAGGTTTCTATAGTGCACTCTTTCCTGGAATGACTCTGCCTAAATTTCACTTCTAAGTCTCAGAGATTCATGTTATGTTATTAGCAATACAAAATGGAAAAGATTGAACCCTTTCAGTTTAATCTGCTGAGTTTCTGAGGCTGCAGGGAACTCCTCCAAGGAATGTGCTTAGCTTTTGTTAGAGGAAGTTAAAAAAGAAAAAAAAAAAAAAAAAAAAAAAAAAGCCCAACATATTATTTGGCATAAATCTGCTCATCTAATTTAGATTGTAGAAACCTATTGATTAGGTTCCAAGGCCTGTCACTTTTTTCCTATAGCGACTACAAATACCACTGCTATTAGGAAATTTCATATCATAAAACTCACTACTATCATCCCACTTTTATATTTTCCCTCCCTTTCTCTTCTCCCCTCTCTCCTCTTCTCTCACGCGCACACAAAAGCTGTTCTTCTCATCAGCGCCATCTGGTGGTGTTTCAAATGTTCCAGTACCCTTTAAAAACGTATTTAAAAAAAAAAAAAAAAGATTGAAGACCCCAAAGAGCACCTGAGTATGTGTTATATCTATCACAGTTATCCTATTCAAAAATGAAACTGGTCGGGCATGGTGGCTGACGCTGTAATCCCAACACTTTGGGAGGCCAAGGTGGGCGGTTCACTTGAGGTCAGGAGTTTGAGACCAACCGGGCCAACATGGTGAATCCCTGTCTCTACTAAAATTACAAAAATTAGCCAGGCGCGGTGCCAGGCACCTGTAATCCCAGCTACTCGGCAGACTGAGGCAGGAGAATCGCTGGAACTGGGAGGCAGAAGTTGCAGTGAGCTAATATTGTGCCACAACATTCCAGTCTGGGCGACAGAGCAAGACTCCATCTCTAAAAAGAAAAAAAGAAAAATGAAACTGAAAAATTTTGGAAAACATTTATTGATCCATTTTAAAATAACAATAATAAATGTTTAAAGTAAATAACGTTTACGTTATTTTTAATGAAATTTTAATGAAAAATTTTAATGAATTTTTTATGAAATTTTAATGAAAAAATCTGTATTTTCCAAAACAAAAACAAATTTAGGAAGAGTGGCATTATTTTACATTTTTGCATATCTCTTTAATGTCTGACTTAAAAGACACCTAAAGTTTCATATCTGCTTCTGTGTTCAATCTGTTCCAATATCTTGTTTTAGTTGAAACATATGAAGAAAATCTGGCCTCACACAGATACATAGTTGGAAAAGTAATGAGTATTTTAATAGCCTTTGAAGATCATTGTGGGTATTCTTCTTTGATACCATTCCAAAACTCCACAAGTTATGGCTTCTTAAAAGTTAGTTGGAATGGAGAATCTGAAACCACATCCATGAACTTTTGGTACTGTTATGCTAAAACCTGCTGTTCTATCTTGGACTTTGAATGCATTTTTTAAAATTATTATACTTTAAGTTCTAGGGTACATGTGCACAACGTGCAGGTTTGTTACATATGTATACATGTGCCATGTCGGTGTGCTGCACCCATTAACTCGTCATTTACATTAGGTATAGCTCCTAATGCTATCCTTCAGCACCCCGCCCCCACCCCGTGACAGGCCCTGTGGTGTAATGTTCCTCTTCCTGTGTCCAAGTGTTCTCATTGTTTAATTCCCACCTATGAGTGTTTACACATGTTTTTCCTCACCCTAGGGCAAACTAAATAGCACAGGCAGGACCCTGCTGGAAGCACCCACTTCATCTCCCACCTATGTAAAAATTCATCCTTTTTTGCCTACCAGTTACTGCCTAACACCAGTGCTTATCACAAAGAAAAGGCTGCAACAACAAGTGCTCCCATGAGATAAGGAATTTAAGGTAAGTGAGCTGGCAGAGGATAAAATCCCCTTCACCCAGCTGCTCCCAACACCTGGCTTCTCCATTAACACCACCTCCCAGGACTATTTAAGTCTTCCTCATCTTCCAGGTCTCAACTTGGACATCACTTCTCACCTCTTGTCTGCCTATTTGTGCCTATCTCTCTCTGTCTCTCCATATAGGAAATGTAGATATAAAGACATAGACAGACATAGACAGACAGATAGATATTAAAATATAGATTATCATACTGCCTTAATTGCTGGGTAAGCTGATTTTCCCCACTAGATGGCAAAATCAAAAAAGTGGCCGTCATTTTCTGTCCCATTCACCCTCAGGGGTTTTAAAACACAGAGATGATGTGTTTGAGCATTAGCTAAGGACATGCTTTTAGATGGGGAATGCCCTTCCATACAGCGCCATCCCCCACTGCATCTTACTGTCATGAGAGTGCCTCACTCGTTGACCTGTCTGCTCCCACACAGAACTGGAATTTGCCAGTTACATTGCAACTGGGACCAGAGTAGGCCCTTGAAAACCATTTGTCAGAGGATCAGAGGGATGAATCTTTTCTTTTCAGGTTGGGTAAAGCACAGAACTAGGTGGGAATTGATGCTACTTTATCGGGCCACTCCACACTAGCCATTGCCCTCAGGATGTCTCTCCATCTGCAGGTGTCCCGTGGTTCTTGGTACGCTTCTCCACTGCATCCTAGCATGTTCAATCTCACCAGGGAGACTGTCATCTTCTGGAGGATGAAATGTGATCTCTATTCCTTTCTTCTCTTTCCCATCTTACCTTGTCTCCTTCCCTCACATTTGACCACTTATTTATTTTTTTTTTAGACAGAATCTCACTATATCACCCAGGCTGCCATGCAGTTGTGCCATCTTGGCTCACTGCAACCTCTGCCTCCCGGGTTCAAGCAATTCTTCTGCCTAAGCCTCTCGAGTAGCTGGGACTACAGTCACAAGCCATCACACCTGGCTAATTTTTTTGTGTGTGTATTTTTAGTAGAGACAGGGTTTCACCACATTTGCCAGGCTGGTCTCGAACTCCTGACCTCAGGTGATCCACCAGCCTCTGCCTCCCAAAGTGCTGGGATTACAGGCATGAGCCACAGCACTTGGCCTGACCACTTAATTTGGTGACCACTTACAGGTTGCAGTCTTCTTAGACACCAGGGCAGATAGTCAGAAAGACAGTTCATAAAGAGGATAATACTCTCTC